TGTCTTTAATAAACTACAAGATCTGTGAAAACAACAGGTACATGCTATTCTCCAGAATGTAAATACTAGCAACACCAGCTCCATCGTTGAACAGTTTCGTCGTTACAAACCCCCAACCTTCGACGGCAAGACAGACTTGCTGGTAACTGAAAAATGGATAAGAGGAATGGAGCGAATCTTTAAACATCTTTCATATATGGATGCTCAAAAAGAATTAAATGTAGGATTCATGTTGGTTGATGCACCAAGTCAATGGTGGGAGTCAGCTTCGAGCACTAAAATCGAAGCACAACAGTGTGCTCTGACTTGGACACGATTTAAGGAAGAAGTGATGGGAAAATACTTCCCACAAGCCCTGAGAAATCGAAAGGAGGCAAAATTTCTTCAACTAAAATAGGGAAATATAAAGTTTAAGGAATATGAGATAAAGTTTGAACAACTCTCTAAGTATGCACCACACCTAGTGGACACAGAAGCAAAGAAAGCAAGGAGTTTCAAATTGGGATTGCGTCCTGAGATTGGTGGAATAATGACAGTCCACCAATTCACCACCTATAATCGGGTAATGCAAATTGTCCAGGTAATCTCAAATAGATTAGAGATTGAACAAACAACTCATCAAGAGGTTGAGCCTTTAGAAAAGCGGAAATGGAATGGGTCCAACGAAGAAAAAAAAGAAAGTTAACATTGGATCAAGTTTTGGACAAATCGTTTTACCTTATCCAAAGTGCAACATGATGCATAAGGGTGATTGTCTGTTTGGGAGACATGTGTGCTATCGATGAGGCAAAACGGGTCATATTTCCAAAAAATATCATGAACACCCCTCGAAGAAGAATGATGAGCAAGAAAATAAGGGAAATGTCCTAGTTTTTTCTTTAGCTCAGGAACATAATTCTTTTTAAGGAGGGTGATTGTAACACCCAAAAATTTTCTAGAATAAAAATTTATTTGTTCCATATACTATATTTGTTTATAGTTTTGAGAGTTGAGTGAATAAATTGAAATAATATTAATTTCTATTTTTATTCGGGTCAAATAATTAGATAGAGCAAGTTTTAGTATATCAGTATTGGACTCGTTGGATAGTTCTTATTAAATGAATCATCATGGACTTCGTGAAAAAAGTCAATTTGGATTAGATCGAACAAATTTGGAGCGATCAAAGAGTTATATAGATGAATCTTAAAGGACAAATTCATTTGTTAGTAATTAGACATCACTTTATCCCAGAATTTGTTTTCCTCTGTTAGTTTAGTTAAAGTAGAATTTTAAGTTTTAAACATAATTAAGCAAAAATATTTTAGTGGTTAAGACCTAATGTAAATCTTTCCCATTTACTAATCCAATGGAAGCCGTCCACCATCTACTCTCAGTTTGTGATAAAATCAAATATAATAGAAGACTATTTTTGTATAAATCAAATAAGAGTTTGATTGTTTAATTGTTTGTTGTATATAAAAGAAATAAAATGGGCCTCATATCTAATGCAATTAGGAGTCTAACTTATCTTAACATATGCACTGCCTTATCTTATATTTACGTATGCATGTATGGATAATGATAATTTAATTGGGATTAAACTAAATCAATTTTGATTAACATAAAATTATTAATTACTATAGCCTAAACCTATATATATAGCCCACGGGTTTTCAAGCACTTACGTACAGAAATTTCAAAAAGCTTTTATACTTGTTTATTTTGAAATTGGAAAACGGGGAGCCAATTTACAACCATTAAAAAAAAGATTATTTCCAAAGCATACGCGTACCCATATTCACCGAAGCAGGGATTTTGAGAAAAGAATTTGGAACATGCATTCATATTTCGGTCAAAAAATTCATTTTATTTATCAAGGTAAGATACTCTTATGCAATCGGTTCGTTTCCTTATGGTTTTATATTCAGTAATTTATACATGAATTACTAGTGGACCTTCAGATTCTTTATTAAAAGATATGAAATCTTTCGAGAATTTAAGATGACTTAAGATGGGTGTGCCCTTGGTCACCGATATACTCCATAAGAGAATAATGATATGAAGTGTTTATTTTATTATTATATAATTGTGTATGCAAATTCCACGTTTCTTACTTGGTATTTTTAAATACTCATTTTTACAAAAAAATTACATGTTAGTTCAGGTTGATTGGGTTTGTGGCAGAATGATGATGCGGTCTGCTAAGGAAATCGAAGGAAAAATATACATTAAGTTTTTTTTTTCTTGTTTTTGCTGTCTTCAATTTATTAGTTAATTTAATTCGTTCAAAGACATGTTCTTTAATTAGATAAGTGATTATTTTATTATCTTAAAAATACAATTTTCATGTTTAGTTTAAATATGGACATTCCAGTTATTTTACTTATCGTTCCGCATTTAATGAGAGAAATAAGTTTTCGGTAACACTTTAAGCTTTATGAAAATTTGGGATGTTACATGTTTTGCCGTAGTATCTCACTCGCCTAGTCTTAATTGACTCACATTTTCAACATAATTTCGACAATTTTTTTCATTGCAAGTCATATTCTCATACCCACCAACTTCAACTACTATAGAGTTGTAACTCTTGTGCATAAGAATTACAGCCATATAATTCACTTCTAACTTCCGTTTCACATGTGCACTCAATTTTCAATTGTATCGATACAACCTGGACTTTAACGGACTTGATTATGATTATTTCCTAGGTCAACTGTGCAAATTTTCCATATTACACGAATATCTAAGGAAGCAGTTACCCTCGCTTTACAACCTATCTGAATGGTTGGTTGTGGCTTCAAAGAAGCGCTTATGTTATTGCTTCGTCGTCCCTCATGACTACATGTCAGTGTAGCTAAGGTGACGGGCATGCTTCTGGAAATGGACCAGACAGAAGTTTTACACTTGCTGGAATCACCAGAAGCTCTGAAAGATAAGGTTGCAGAGGCTATGGAGTTTCTGATGAATGTGTCTCAACAGCAGGTCAGCTGAACAATTGGCTTCATTGGCGTTGAATGAATGATTTTATGGGAAATGGAGGTTGAATTATATACTGTGCTTGGGTTTTTTTTAAATATTGGTTGTGCTAAATTTCGTTGCAAGTACATGCTGTGGTTTTCGACTCTTGTGACGTTTGATGACTTTAGAATTTTGTGATATTTTCTGTTAAAAAAAATAAATAAATCAGAGAGTGTAGATGGATACATTTCCTTGCTGGAGTTTGTTTAGCATTTCCAATTTTCCTTTTACTCATCAATGTTGATGATGTTTGTCTTCAGCAAATGCCTGGTTTTAGAGCCATGGATGCTCAATTATTCCGGTTGAATTATGTTGCTATTTTCCTCTGGATTGCTTCTTCGTTGGACGTTATTATTGACCACGGCTTCTCTTGCATATTTGTTTTTCTCTCTACAATTTAAGATGTTCCATCTTGAGGGGAGAGTGTTGGAATATTCCAATATTAGATCCTTCTTCTAAATCCTTCTCTTATTTGTTATTAGATACTTCTTCTAGATTCTTCTCTTGTTTGTTATGTAGTTAGTTTGTTAGAAACTTACTCCATAAATAGAGCAATGTATTCACAAACTTGATCTTGATGATTAATAAAGTGTTCTTCTTCTCAAGTTCCTTCAATATGTTTTCATATTGAATCTACATTTTAATGTCTCAATACACTTCTCTCAAAAAATTTCTTACTTTTTTAGGATATCCTTACGTTAAATAATTGTTTAAATACATGGAAAGATAGGATAATCTCTCTCTCTCACTCTCATCTACTATTATACTAAAGATGAAAGGCTTGCCTACGTTACTCCTTCCTCTTGGAATGAAAAGAGATACTCCATCCGTCCCAATTATATAGGCTTATTTTGTTTTTCACCCGGATTAAGAAAGCTTCTTTAATGTCATTGAAAAATTAATTTTTGCCAAGATCTTTCCTAATTTACCCCTATTTAATTTTCAATATGTAAAACTAAATTATTGTTGGAACTAATAAAGAATTTGAAGATGAAGAAAAAATGAGAGTTGTTTCATGTTTCTAAGAAGTGGGAAATGTGTGTATTTGGATGATTTCAAGAAATTGACATATTAAGTGGGAAAAATTTAATAAGGGTATATTGATAAAAAAACACAACAAAATATTCTACATTAGGAAACGTGCTTATATATTTGAGACAAGAGAAAAGGAAACCCAGCCTATATAATTGGGATGGAGTGAGTAATACTAGAAGAATGTTTAGAAACTTTAAAAACAAACATTAATTTCCAAAGTTACGAATGTCTTAGTCTAGATGAACNGGCTCGTTTCTCCACGAGCCGAGCTGAGCTCGTGGCTTTAAGGCTTGGCTCGGCCCATTGACATCTCTAATCAAAGAGTGTTTAAAAGTACACCTCCATGGGCGGAGCTACAATTTAATACTAAAAATATTTCCAATAAAACAATAAATTTAGTATAGCAATGGTTCTAAGGGATTGATTCTTCTAGTAGAGCTTGCCAGGGGTAAAGGAACAAAATAAAAATTTACACAAGCAGCTAATATTTTGTAAAAATACATCAGCATTTGAAATAAACTAAACAACAGGCAAATGGCCTGGACAGCCTAACCAGATTTATATCTCTGCTGTTTTATCACTTCGGTCTTCAATCTGTGGAGTGACACTCAAAGTTTTGGAAGATTAATGGGAGGGGGTCCTTCCAGTCGAATATAATCATACATAATCCCGTGTAAAGCACTTGTATTCTGTGCTTGAGTGAGATATATGGTGTTAAGCCCTTGAACGAGTAAGGAACTCTCTATGTCCACATGAAACAACCAGTACAACCCATGAATTCCATGTCTTGCAATTGCATTATCTTTCCCTATTAATCCACTTGAGAACTTCGGAGGATTTGCTCCTGGATTGTTGATCCTCACCTATGAGAATCCAGTGTCAGTGTTAAAGGACTTCTCTCAAGAACCTCTCTTGTTCTCTTTTATTGGGGTGGGGGTCAAGGGGTAGTGTGATCAATGAGTACCTCCAATATGGACATATTAGCGGATGCTAATGCGATTCGCAGTGTGTACTTTCCACTCTGATCGACCCTGTCTAGTTTGAACTTTATTTGCCATGTTGTTCCTTGATATGCATTTTCTCCTACTTTTCTGCAGTAGAGAAATGACCATTAAACAAGTTTTCAGTTAAAGGATCATAGTGAATGAAGTGTATGTATGGCTTCCACGACTTGAATCAGATTTAACATTGTACCTTGTCACCTGAGCATAAAACCAATCTTTAGAGTAGTCATCAATACCAACTGTGTATACCAAATCCTTATCTGGGTACAGATCAGCATATCTTTCCCACAATCCATATTGCCTAAACCTACAGATAGAAGAAGACCTGATCAGATGAAAATATAAGGGGAATGTGAAAGAAAAATCACCCTTGAAGAACATACTCTGAGTCGATATCAGATGAGTCAGGCAAGTATGCAAAAAAATATCAGTGAATCGTTGGTAATATTTCAGTGAAGAAGGCCTAACCTGTCTGCAGGGTGATTTATGTAAAGTTTGTTGATATACATAGGATTAGGATCGGGCACAAAGAATTCTGCAGCAGAACGATCAGGGATGCCTATTTCCCACAATGTGGGCCCATCTCTTGGAGGTATGTACACAAGATCACCCAAGTTCATGGCACAACCTAAATCGTTTAATATATTGTTACGAAATATCATTACAAGATTAATGTACATTTTTTCCAAATGCGAATATTGGGTACCTGCTGTAATGACTAAGGCTTTTTCATATCGATAGTCTCCAATCAAACCAGAGATCCATGCATAGATGTAATATTCACCAGGAAAAATATTGATAATGGAGAAATAACCATCATCATCTGCATTCGCCCAGAATTGATACCCCTGGCAAGTCAATTATAAGTAACTTTTAATAACAGAGAGAAGCTCCCTTAGTAATATTGAAATAGAACCAGAGAAAGTACCTTGTTTTCTGTTTGAAACGAGCCAGTTGCTCCCGGTAGAGCCACTCCAACATAAGCACCCTTTGCCGGTATATTTTCATTAGAGATGTACCTTGCAGGCATAATTTAAAGAAATTTGGTATATTTCTAGAATACCCGAGCCTAGTAGACCAAACAAACTTGAACATTAAATTTCTGTCTGTGTACTGTGCTGGAGAGAATATTACCTGTCTTGTGCGAATAATCTACCCTGAATACTACCCCTTTCATCAGCATGTGGAAAGTCCGCTGAAGCTGGAAAGCTGTATGGCCAATTTTGGACTTCTTTTTTCATCTGAATGAATTGATCAAATGAAAAGTTTAGCAGAAAACTACTTCCATTTTGCCAAAATACTTGATAAACGGAAAAGGAACCTGCTCTTTAGCATCATCCCAGAGTAGAATTGGGTCTTTTTCATCCGAAACAGAATTGAGATAGATGAAAACAGGACCAAAAACTTTCTTCCACGGTTCGCCTTTTCCAAATTTGATCACTACATCCTCTCCCCCATAATGGGCACTTACAAACATCTGATGACACAATTTGATCAATGTATTAATTTATTTAGGATCAGATAAGATAATACAGGGAAATATCAGCTGTATAGATGCTATCCAACAATTGTGAAAGCATTAGGCATAACTTCTTTAATTCGAGGATTTGTTTACAAGTAACATACAGCAAGTGTTGTAGGGTTGACATGAGAAGTGAGGTCCTGTTTGAGTGGTCCACCAGTCCTGAACTCGTTGCTTGGAGTGATTTGCCAGAACCCTACTGGGGGTTCATTGCATATAAATCCATGGACTCTATTATCTTTGTTTTCACACGAGTACTGATACTTATCATCGACCTGGTAATCATAAAATATGGATACAAAAACATGAATACAGATGAAGTTCTTTGTCTTGCTTTGTCTTCTCCAAAGAAAAGATGGGTATTTTTTGTATAGAGTATATACTTCTCCTTTAAATTCTGGCTCCACGGGATTGACAAGGAGGACTGCTTCTGGAAAAGCCAATTCTCTGCCTCTAGGAGGTAACCGGTCTTCTGGGAGTGGTAAATTCCTTTGCCTATCATCTGCCATGGCCATGTAACGAAACCTAACATCGGGGTACTACTTAGTATCATCTGAATTCCTAATGCGCACACACACGCACACACATACACACATATGTATGATCATTTTATATCCGCTGAGTGAACTAGATTCTGAACAAAAAAAATGTTCTATACTTCTTGCACTTGTATATGGTTACGTTAGCACTCGTTCATCAAGCTTGCATTTTACACGACCAGATAAATTATGCTTGCGTGCCTACTTTCGTATGCTGAGCATGAAGGCAATTCTGGTTTCGTTGAGGTTGAATGCATCCATATCCTCTGTGTGTTCGTAAATGGCATAAGAATAGAAGCCCGAAGAACCGCGAAGCATTATGAACCTGAATCGTATATCCTAATATAAGCACCAATTCTTCATAATCAAACACAACGATGAATATCAATATTATAAGTAGCAGTACTGTCAATGATGCACCTTTTGTCTATAGTCAAGGGAGCATGCTTGCCCTCAAATGAGGGATCCCATGTTCTTCTGAATGAGACTTCTATCTGTTCGTCATTTTCCACTATAACTCTGAATTCAGTTCCATTTATCCTGCATTCAATTTTATTCATGGTTTCAGTTTCTTAACAAATTTATCATCTGTACTATCTATTCGAACTTATCTCAATAATGAAATGCGTTATTGCTACCTCGAGACATGAATATGATAGGACAAGATTCACAGACATAGATACGTTATTTTTCTAAAACTAAATCCTTGAAGGGAAGACTTACGTATCAAAGCTTCCTCGCGTGCCTGAAGTGCCAGCTTCACTCCAATTGAGGTCCCAAAACCTGTATATTCATTGTAATACAAGATTTAGTCCTATGTTAGTTGAAGGAAATGTTGTAAATATTCTTGATTCAATTGGACAATTAAGTATACACATATGTATCAAGAGCGAGAAGAGGATTGATCGGAGTCCTTTTAAAATCCGATAACTGTTGGTTGAAGTCGTATATTTCGAACTGCATTAAGTAAATCCCCAAAGTATAAAGGTCTAAACTAAATTACCCTCCATTTAAGACTGGATTATTGAGTTCAAGCAAGTTGTCAAGTCCATTATATTGAATTCCAGTAATAAGGCCTTCCGGAGTTGTTAATGTGAGTTTGAGCAATCCATTATCTAGCACAACCTGCACAATCAAGTTTTTACAATAGAGTTTAGTCCAATTACAACATATGCATCTTCTGAAGTTTCATTCCGGCCCTTGCCTACCCCAACCAAACTGGCTTGACTATCTAAAAGTAAAAGTCAAACAATTAATTTTAACTACACATTTCAAGGACCCACAATTTTTCAACCACATTTCATCATCTTTTATTAAAATCTACTAAAAATTTGATTTTAATCTACACCAAACAAGAGCTAAACAATATTCTGCTGTACTCATCCTACCCAATAGCTATTTTCGTATCTAGTTGTGTACAATGATAAAAGACAAATGCATTAACCATATAGAATAGCAAAAAGAATAGTAGGTGAATTACTTGCTTATCTTGGACAAATAAGTGCGTAGCCACGGCAGCAATGGACACCTTGGGCTCCATTATTCGACAATACAAAAAAGAAATCTTAGCTCACAAACTGGAAAGATCAATGTTTGAGCAATAATGCATGTGGAAGAATATCCATTCAAGTAACTTTGAAATGTAACTTTGAGTTGCTTGAAGTATGTTATACTCAAAGAGAAGGGCACCCGTGAATTGGTTTTTTCTTTGTTCAAAGTCTTTACGCCAACTCTGTCTCTGACTTGGGAAACAAGACAAAAAAGTGGCATTATCAAAGCAAATTTATGCAGTGGCATCTTAACAATAGTATTGATCTCGGTTGGAGATATCTTGCCCACGGTTGACTTGGCAATGCCATCAGCAAGTCTAACGATTGAATTGTCAAAAACTGTAAGCTTGACCATTAACGTGGCATTATCATATCAGCGGTGGGCAAGATATCTCCGACCTATTGTTGGTAGAAAATCAGGTTTGTCTCATGAAATATTGTCATCTTAAGTAACTGCTCCAAATCTTGTCTGATGACAACCCAAATCTTGCAATCATGAATAAGAAAATTTTAATTTAACTTACAGGATATCTGAAAAAGTAAAAATAATTTAAGCTCGATTAAGCTCCCAATGTCTACCCTACGACAAATTTTCGCTACATCTCGCATTAAAGATTACGAGCAATATCTTTTAAAATTTCGTTCATATGGAAGCAAAAGGAGATTTTTTTTTCTAAGAATACGATAGTAAAATTAATTGGACGCTTTATAAATACTTTGTGGAATGCCCTTTACGCATCCTCGTCCAAATCACAAGATTTTTCACAAAGATTGTACATGAATGGAAATGAGAAATGTTTAATCAAAGTGTGTATATAAAGAACGTTGGCAAATTTTGACAATAAAGTCTCAAATCGAAAGACCTAACCATTATCCAATTTTTTTCTAAATTAAGTGAGACAACCTTTTTTTTTTCCTTTTTTTCCAAGCAAAAGAGACAAATATAAATATAATTTTTATCTTTCTTTTTTATTTCAAGAACAAAGACAATTTCTTCATTAAAATCTCCTCTCCCTACAAGATCACATTCTCTTAAGCTGAACCATCTAAGACGACGTTCTTTGTAATATACAGTCCAATTTTGATTCCAAAGAGAGGTCATTCTCATAGGCGATCCTTACCAATTTAACTAAAAAAAAAAAGCTTTTAGTGGCATTAGTCTGTACTATCGCCATACAAGTAATAGAATCTAAACATTTCGTAAATCATTTCTTGAATTGTATAGGAAAATTGAGTTAAGTCAATAGTCGCAAACTAATCAGTAGTTCAGTGCATTCAATGAGGACTAAAGGTTCAAATTCTAAGACTAAAGAGATGGGGGACTTTCCATACGAATGTAGTCATACATAATTCCTTGGAAAGGGCTACTGCTCCTAGCTTGTGTCAAGTATATGGTATTTTCCCCTTGAACTAATTCAGAACCTGGTATCTCCACACTAAATAACCAATAGATTCCACGAATTCCATGCCTGGCAATCGCGTTGTCACCCCCAATAACTCCACTTGAAAATACCGGAGGATTTACATCAGGATCATTTATCCGGACCTAGGAAACAAATCGATTGCAATATGTTAGTTTTATGTAATAGATTTAAATATACATACATTGTTAGCTTGAGATGGGGAAGGTTATCGCATTATGCAAATGCACAGTCATTTCTTGTGGATTATAATTCGGTATTAACTGACCTGCAAGTCGGAATTATGTGCAGATGCAAGTGCTAATCTTAATATGTAGGTTCCGGCTTGATCCACATTGTCAAGATTGAATTTGATTTGCCATGTTGTGCTTTTATATGCATTATCACCAGTTTTCCTGCACAACAAGTGAATTTTGAATATCTATCAATGGATAGCTATTTACTTCTTGGAAAGGTATTCCAGTTTTGACATGTCTTGTCGAACAAATCCTCTGCTTGCATAATTGGAATTATATAAGTGAAAGTAACAAGTTTCGGTGAGAATAAAAATATTGGAAAGGAGTAATCAATGATTTACAGGAAATTCACACAAAGAACATTAATCCTGCTTTCAGAAACATTAATGGTGAAATGTCATGATTTTTCAATTGGATTTTCATGTTTTTTTTAATAAGCTAAGATTAATATGATGGAATTGTTACAGAGCAAAATGGTAACAGTTTCAAATGCCAGAACATACCTTGTAACCTGAGCGAAGAACCAATCCTTTCGATAATCATCAACACCAACAGTGTAAACCAAATCTTTATCTGGATATAGGTCAGCATATCGTTCCCATAACCCATACTGTCTAAACCTGCAAAGAGAGGATAATGATAAAATGTGTCATATTTCGTACCAGAGGTATATCAGAAATACAAGTACGCAATGTTGAGTGCTACATTGAACTAACCTGTCGTATTTGCAATACAAGATACCGATATTATTATCTTTAATGGAAAAATTAACACGTCGTATTTGCTAAAATTATCAGACAACTGGAAACTAACCTGTCTGGGTGATCGACATATAGTTTGTTGATGTACATTGGGTTGGGATCAGGAACGTAAAATTCTTCTGCAGTACCTAGTCCCTACGGTTAAAGGGTGTACGTGGGACCGTCTCTTGGAGGCTCAAAAATAAGCTCACCTACGTCAATATCACAACCTGAGATGAATTTCAACCCACTGCTTGTTAGAAAATTACTTATACATTAGATGTTTCGATTCATGAATTTTAAATTGAAAACTTAGGGAAAAAAGTTGGACCTGGTGTAATGGTTAATGGGATTTCATACTTGTAGTCTCCAATAAATCCAGGGACGCATGCATAGAGATTATAGTCACAAGTTTGTATATTATTAATGACAAAGGAGCCATTTTCATCAGTTGTGGTCCAAAATTGATACCCCTGGAATGTAATTAGTAGTAAAAGAGAGAAGCTTAGATGTCAATGCTCCAAATTGCCATCTACTAAACTCGGATATGAAACTATTTTTCCTTTTCAATCACAATGTCAATTCTTAAAGCTTCCAATAAACTAGCATTCACCTGATAATAAAATCCATTTACATTAGATTCCAAGTAACAAAAGAATAATGACTCTTGACAAAGATATTGGCCTTTTAATACAAGAAATCTTTGTCCCCTCTTAGAAGAAATTATTTCCTCTTGTTGGTCATTATGCACAATTTCCATCCTTGAGATCCATGATATAAGGACTAAGATGGTGTGTAAAGCCCCAATGTGGAATTAAATTATTTGTTTTTTTTATATGCTATATAGTTATATTTTTGGAAGTTAAAGTATTAAGGTGAAAAATGTTTTAAATTCTTATATTTTGGTTTAAATAATTAGATTTTGATTGAATTGGTCTTATATATCGATTTTTAGGCTCATTTAATAGCTCGTAATTAATCATACACTTTAGGCTCGAGAAAAAGTTAATTCTGATAAGCGAAGCCCAAGTTATTATTATTATTTTTTTTGATAGGTAATCATGTAATTTTATAAATGAAAATCAAAAGATAATACATTCTTTTCCAATTGCTTAGAAACAAGTCCAAAACTGAAATAAGATAAAAATAACCTAAGTTAAGTAAAATGCAATAATAAAATGATACAAAAGCTTAGTACTATGGCCCCGAATAAGTGCACAAAAATGCACTTATCAATACATCTTTAATTATTTTCGATATCTGTTTGAACTATTCAATATGTCTATAATGTAGTCCTCGAAATGAGTTTTGAGATGACATAAGCGATTAGTAGATTCAACTACTGTACGATCGTCGGAGAATTTATAAAGTTAGCATGCTATCGAAATTCTCGAAATACTAATTTTAAATCGCCTACTTTGACAAGTCGTAACATTTGCTACGATTGGTCGTTTCACACCCCGTTAACGACATAAAAAACTAGACTGTGGCACTTCGAAATGGTATAAAGAATAAAATATTTCGATTTCGTTTAACATCTTATAATGATTTCGAAAATTGAAACAAAATATAAAAAATTATATTAAACAAAAAAAAAGAAAAGCAAAGTTTGCCCCCTAGGCACACCCCTTGGTCCGCCAGTGTGTGTGAATAGAATTGATCTCGGTTGGAGATATCATGCCCACGGTTGACTTGGCAATGCCATCAGCAAGTCTAACGGTTGAATTGTACGCTTGACCATTGATGTGGCGTTATCACGTCAACGGTGGGCAAGATATCTCCAACCCATTGTCGGTAGGAAATCAGGTTTGTCTCATGAAATGTTGTCGTCTTAAGTAACTGCTCCAAATCTTGTCTGATGACAACCCAAATCTTGCAATCATGAATTATTATAAGAAAAATTTAATTTAACTTACAGTATATCTGAGAAAGTGAAAATAATTTAAGCTCGATTAAGCTCCCAATGTCTACTTACGACAATTTTCTCTCCATCTAGTATTAAAGGTTACAAGCAATTATCTTTTAAAATTTCGTTCATATGGAAGCATCTGCTTTATCGTCTAACTTTGTATTGAAATGAAAGTTTACACAAAAGGAGAATTTATTTCTAAGAATAGGATAGTAAAATTAATTGGACGCTTTATACATACTTTATGGAATGCCCTTTACGCAGCCTCGTCTAAAGCACAAGATTTTTCACAAGGATTGTACATGAATGGAAATGAAAAATGTTTAATCAAAGTGTATGTAATTTATAAAGAAAGTTCGCAAATTTTGACAGTTAAGTCTCAAATCGAAAGACCTAACCATTATCCAATTTCTTCTAAATTAAGTGATAACCTTTTTTTCTTCTTTCTTTTTTCCAAGCAAAAGAGACGACTATAAATATAATTTCTATCTCTGTTTTTTCTTTCAAGAACAAAGAGAATTTCTTCATTAAAATCTCCTCTCCCTACAAGATCACATTCTCTTAAGCTGAACCATCTAAGACGACGATCTTTGTAATATACAGTCCAATTTTGATCAAAGAGAGCTCATTCTCATAGGCGATCCTTACCAATTTAACACAAAAAAAGCTTTTAGTGGCATGACTCTGTACTATCGCCATACACGTAATAGAATCTAAACATATCGTAAATCATTTCTTGAATTGTATAGGAAAAATGAGTTAAGTCGATTGTCGCAAACTAATCAGTAGTTCAGTACATTCAATGAGGACTAAAGGTTCGAATTCTAAGAGTAAACAGATGGGGGACTTTCCATACGAATGTAGTCATACATAATTCCTTGGAAAGGGCTACTGCTCCTAGCTTGTGTCAAGTATATGGTATTTTCCCCTTGGACTAATTCAGAACCAGGTATCTCCACACTAAATAACCAATAGATTCCACGAATTCCATGCCTGGCAATCGCGTTGTCACCCCCAATAACTCCACTTGAAAATACCGGAGGATTTACATCAGGATCATTTATCCGGACCTAGGAAACGAATCGATTGCAATATGTTAGTTTTATGTAATAGATTTAAATATACATACATTGTTAGCTCGAGATGGGGAAGGTTATCGCATTATGCAAATGCAGTCATTTCTTGTGGATTATAATTCGGTATTAACTGACCTGCAAGTCGGAATTATGTGCAGATGCAAGTGCTAATCTTAATATGTAGGTTCCGGCTTGATCCACATTGTCAAGATTGAATTTGATTTGCCATGTTGTGCTTTTATATGCATTATCACCAGTTTTCCTGCACAACAAGTGAATTTTGAATATCTATCAATGGATAGCTATTTACTTCTTGGAAAGGTATTCCAGTTTTGACATGTCTTGTCGAACAGATCCTCTTCTTGCATAATTGGAATTAAATAAGTGAAAGTAACAAGTTTCGGTGAGAATAAAAATATTGGAAAGGAGTAATCAATGATTTACAGGAAATTCACACAAAGAACATTAATCCTGCTTCCAGAAACATTAATGGTGAAATGTCATGATTTTTCAATTGGATTTTCATGTTTTTTTTAATAAGCTAAGATTAATATGATGGAATTGTTACAGAGCAAAATGGTAACAGTTTCAAATGCCAGAACATACCTTGTAACCTGAGCGAAGAACCAATCCTTTCGATAATCATCAACACCAACAGTGTAAACCAAATCTTTATCTGGATATAGGTCAGCATATCGTTCCCATAACCCATACTGTCTAAACCTGCAAAGAGAGGATAATGATAAAATGTGTCATATTTCGGTACCAGAGGTATATCAGAAATACAAGTACGCAATGTTGAGTGCTACATTGAACTAACCTGTCGTGTTTGCAATACAAGATACCGATATTATTATCTTTAATGGAAAAATTAACACGTCGTATTTGCTAAAATTATCAGACAACTGGAAACTAACCTGTCTGGGTGATCGACATATAGTTTGTTGATGTACATTGGGTTGGGATCAGGAACGTAAAATTCTTCTGCAGTACGATCAGGGATGCCAATTTCCCACAGCGTGGGACCGTCTCTTGGAGGCTCAAAAATAAGCTCACCTACGTCAATATCACAACCTGAGATGAATTTCAACCCACTGCTTGTTAGAAAATTACTTATACAATAGATGTTTCGATTCATGAATTTCCAATTGAAAACTTAGGGAAAAAAGTTGGACCTGGGGTAATGGCTAATGGGATTTCATACTTGTAATCTCCAATAAATCCAGGGACGCATGCATAGAGATTATAGTCACAAGTTTGTATATTATTAATGACAAAGGAGCCATTTTCATCTGCTGTGGTCCAAAATTGATACCCCTGGAATATAATTAGTAGTAAAAGAGTGAAGCATAGATGTCATGCCCCAATTAAATTGCCATCTACTAAACTCAGATATGAAACTTTTTTTCTTTTTCAATCACACTGTCAATTCTTAAAGCTTCCAATAAACTAGCATTCACCTGGTAATAAAATCCATTTACATTAGATTCCAAGTAACAAAAGAATAATGACTCTTGACAAAGATATTGGCCTTTTAATACAAGAAATCTTTGTCCCCTCTTAGAAGAAATTATTTCTTCTTTTGGTCATTATGCACAATTTATATCCTTGAGATCCATGATCTAAGGACTGAGATGGTGTGTAAAGCCCCGATAATTTCACGGAATTAAATTATTTGTTTTTTTTATATGCTATATAGTTATATTTTTGGAAGTTAAAGTATTAAGGCGAAAAATGTTTTAAATTCTTATATTTTGGGTTAAATAATTAGATTTTGATTGAATGGGTCTCATATATCGATTTTACGCTAATTGGATAGCTCGTAATTAATCATGTACTTTAGGCTCGAGAAAAAGTTAATTCGGATAAGTGAAGCCCAAGTTATTGAAGTTGAAAGATTTTACCTTGAAATGTTAATGTATTAAGTTTAATTATTAATTAAAAATTCTCATGGGCTGCCATGTTCTGCATTCATTGAGTTAAGGTAGGATTTTAATAAAATTATTATATTAATTTTTTTGTTGTAATTTGGTATAGGGTAGCCACGTGTAGGTGTAGGTATGGAGAGAGAAGTGATTTTGATTTGAGATATGTTTTTGTAAGAGTAAAGCCAAATGTATAGAATAGTGCTTCACAGAAGTTTTACCAATACACACAAGGGTGGGGCCTACTGTAATAAAAAATGAAAAAAAAAACGTACCCGAGTCCGAGCAACTTAGCGTGCGACTATAGGGATAAAGTAGTTCATTTTTGGTTTCAAGATATAAAAATGTATATATTTAACTGAATTATACGTTTCCCCAACTGCACACCCACTTTGTTAGACTAGATCATATGGTCATATATTTATACATGTATATCAAGAGAGAAGACACATGCATAAATACAAGGGTGTTGAGAGAGAAAAGTGTTGAAATTTGAGGTAAATTATATACTTCCTACTTTATACAGTGTAAAAGGGTTCTTACTTTTTACCCTATAATTTATAGATAGTTATAAGTGTGATATTGGAATTTAAAGCAGGAAGTCAATTTCATATATTATAAATTTTTAGAAAAGTATTTGACGCACCTTGAAGCGATGAGAAGGATTTAGAACATAATTTCTTTGGTTTCGTCTTCCAAAAATTAAATCGATCTAACAAGGTAGGATAATGAGGTGCTTTTGATTCTTATCCCGTTTAAATTATTTTTTTCACGTTATTAAATTATTATGTTAATGAAAGTTAAAGACATGATATGATACGTATATTACAGCGGTCATTCAGTACCAAAGATATGATATTTATTGAGCTCTTACCGATTTTTAAAGATATGAGACTGTATGATATTTTTGACACATGTTTTAAATCTTTTATTCGGGATTGCATTATTATTTCGTGTCCTATTGAGTATTCACACGTACTCACCATTTTCGCCTACTCTTCACAGGTTAGAACGGCTCGTTGGTCAATGAGCGATAAGGTACAGTCATAGTGCCAGGATTTATGGGACTCAATAAATTAATCCAGTGTAATATGATTAAAAATTTTATTTCTAACCTTTATTTTTAGTTTTATTATTTATGAATTTTTATTTAAGAAGTTGAGACATGACTTATTTATTATAAAATTCCCATGTACACTTTTGTAGTGAAACCAAAATTTTATTTATGGTCAATGGTGCGAAATAAAATAGAATTTACATCAGTTCAAATTCAGTATTTGAATTGTCTTATCAGACGTAATAGCATATACGGATTATGTGAAATTATGATTTTTGGGCTTCGTGCATATCCTCATAGCTCTTCATGCCTTGGAAAAATGAATATTACTCTCTTCAATCATGAATAATGAGAGTCCATTTTATAAAAAGGAAATTTCTTGATAGACGAGAGGCCAAATTGAATGGAAAATCTTTTAAATCTTCTTACAATTAGGAGTGTAATAATATATTAGGCATTCATTTGAAAAAAAAAAAACGCAAAGTACCTTATTTCTTTGTCAACTAGAGTGGACATGGTATATGGAAGGACAATGATTACCTTGTGTTCTCTTTGCCATGATCCAACATCACCAGGTGGTGCCAATCCAACGTATGCAGCTTTTGCCAGTATGGTGTCATTGCTTATATACCTAAAAAAGGTCATATAAATAATTAAAAATAGATAAGACAGTAGATGATTAAAGGATCAATGCAGAAATACATGTCATTGCCCTTTTTTGCTTTATGCAGGTTTTGAGGCTTTTGTATTTCAAGGTTAAGGTTACTACACTTGCAGAGAGTACCTTGATTCACTAGAAGTGGAAGTAATCTACCATGTAGCTAAAAGTTAGGCTAATCTAACATGATCACACCTTTCAATTTAGGTCTAAGTGCTAATTGTTGCTGAGGGAAGTACTGTAAAAATTATGTAATGAAGGTAAGAAAGAATAAAACCTGTCCTGTACCATCAATTTACCCCTTACTGTGCCTCTTTGATCAGATTTTTGAAAATCCGTGGACGCTGGGAAACTGTAAGGCCATGATTGGACTTCCATTTTCATCTGAAAGCCATGAAGTATGATCATGATGTCAAAAATGTCACAATTACTTTGCTGCAATGACAGACAATATCATTTTGATTTTAATCTTCGACTTAAATCCCTTACCTTCTCTTTAGCATCATCCCAAAGAGAAAGAGCATCATCTCTATCTGGTACAGAATTTAGATAGATAAAAACCGGGCCCAAGACTTTCTTCCATACTTCACCAGATTGAAATTTTACTAGAAGATCCTCTCCCGCATAATGTGAAGTAACAAATATCTGGTCTCCAGTATGATCAAAATTACCAAGTGAAAACAATCACCTCAGCAACTTAAATTATTGATGACATGTTAATTGTCAAAGCTTGTCACTTAAAAGAAAAAAGAATATGATCAGGCACTTACAGCAAGGGTTGTTGGGTTCACATGGGATGTTAAGTCTTGTTTGAAGGGTCCTCCAGTACGAAACTCGTTGCTAGGAGTTATTTGCCAGAACCCTACTGGTGGGTCAAAACATATCCATCCATGCACCTGATTATCTTTGTTCTCACATGAGTACTGATACTTGTCGTCTACCTGCATGAGATAAATCAACCAAGCACTCAAATTCAGTAGTTCACACCAAATAAAATCCAAGACATTTATTAGCATTATTCTCAAGGAAGAGGATATTTTAGATATTACTTCTCCTTTGAATTCTGGTTCTATAGGATCGACAAGGAGTACTGCTTCTGGGTAAGCTAGTTGTTGACCTCTTTCTGGTAAACGATCATCTGGAAGGGGCATGTATCTTTGCCTACTATCTGATATGGCCAAGTAGTGAAACCTGATCATTTACAAGGTCATTATCAATACCCACATGATACTTTGTTCAATGGTGATCTAAGGAATAACATTTTTTCAGGGATCAATTATATTTCAACTATCCTAAGTTTAATTTTTACCATACTAACACTTATTTGATCACATTTGATCATTTCAATAAATATCTTCATGTTGTCAAGACAATATTGAAGTTTCTGATTACATACATAAATCAGTCTTGTCCAATAAGGTTTAGGAAGTCTTACGTGTCCTTTTTGAGCATGAACGCAATCCTGGTTGTGTTAAGGTTGAAACCAGGAAAGTCCTCTAAATGTTCAAAAATGGCATAGGAGTAGAATCCTGAGGAGCCACGAAGCATCACAAACCTAGAAATTCATATTCATTTTCATTCATTATCATCATTTTTAATTAAAATGACCAAATAAAAATTTAAGCAACATAGAAGAGAGAACCGTCTGTCTATATATAAAGGAGCTTGTTCACCCTGGACTGAAGCATCCCACATTCTTGTGAATGAGAGCTCGATCTGCTCCTCATTTTCTACGATAACTTTCAAGCTTGTCCCTTCAATCCTGTGTAGTAATAAAGTGTTCGATTTATGGGGAAAAAAGAGTTAGTCAGCTCTATGACTATCTAGAATAGAAATAATGAAAAACATCATTTATGTCACATACAACGATAACAAGAATTTATCTAAATATTTGAAGGAAAGTAGTATCTTATTTAAGCATTACAAAGAGAAAGGAAAAGAGAACAAGAAAGTCATGGGCACTATCAATGACATACGTATCAAATTTTCCTCTTGTCTTGGAACTCCCTGCTTCACTCCAATTAAGGTCCCAAAACCTGTTAGTAACATCAGCAACCGAAGTGAATCCTTAATCACAGTCAAGATTGAAATAAAGGAAGTGAATATTTTATCCAGATAAATGCAAAACAAAATATAGGTAATCTTATCGAATAAACGTAAAAAGACTTCCTTTACACAAACAGTGCCAAAATTTGGGGGAAGGGAAAAGGGAAGAGGAGGAGGTGGGGTTTACTATAAGTTGAACTGTGCTGCAATCCATAGAATGCGCAAGGCATGTGCAGGAAGCAGAGACCCGGGGCATATCTTGAACAAATAATATACAAAGAAAAGAAATATAAAACAAATTACCTAGAAGCATTAAAACTAACAAACTGATTTTCTTGCTTTGCAATATAATAATAACTAGGAATAACTATATTTTTTTAAAAGACGAAGATATGTAAATAGGATTCCAATGTTAAAGAATTTCATAAAGAAAATCTACTTTTTATTCGCAATGATAGTGATGCCACAATTCAGGAGGGTAAACTGTACTTTCTATAGAGAAGAAGGAATTGAGCATTAGCCAATGGGTTGCTGGTGGCCTTAGTTTACCTACATTCCAGTCACCCATTTGCTCTACATTGCGTTCAAGTCGTCAACTAAATAAGCAATTACATGCCTAGACAAGTACAACTGACTAGGTAGCGTGCAAGAGTGACAGGACATATGATTTTCCTTCAGATCTATAATGAAAATAAATGACAAACTTAAAATAAATCAAGTACCCTGATGAAGTATCTAGCAACATGTCTAGTAAATAATACTTGTCAACGCATCCAACCTTTTCATTTTAGAACAAAATCCAAGTTTTTGAAATTCTCAATAGATTGTCTAATACATAAAGGAAAATTACTTTGCACGACGACTAGCATTTGTCATGTAAGCCCATCCATGCTTCATTTGTTATTTGCGAAAAAACTTGATCAGAAAACTATGCTTAGCAGTTAGCATCCAAAGACACAGAAGAGAACCTTGAACATACCCTCCATTCAGATCTTTGTTCTTCAGTTCTAACAAGTTGTCAATTCCATTATATTTTATACCCCTAATAATTCCTCCTGGATTGGTCAACGTGAGCTGGAGTATTCCATTATCAATCACAACCTGCATAAATTCCACCCCATCCATTAAAAATCACACAATAACAAGTTTCACAAAAATGCTGACAGAAAGACTCTGTTCTTTTTCTTCAATTTCGGAGTGCAATTATGGGAGACAAACACAAAATGCCACCCTTACAAGTAAGTAGAAATAAGGTACATGAAACAGAAGATTATTTAGTATTTATCAAATCATTTCACTCGTGGAAAATCTCGTATAACTACTCAATAATCATCGTAACTTCAAACCTAAAAGTGAATTAGAACGTAACCAAGTCTTCTTGTACTGATGTCGAGAGTACACAGCCCGTCATTTGGTTTCTGTATCACAATGTTTGTAGTTACTGCATCAGCCTGTGGCAATGGCCACAAACTGCTCTACAAAATGCCTAGCTGAACCTATTTTCAAATTCCGGTGAAACTTCCGGTGGGAGCTTGTAGAGTAGAGGTACGTGCACCAGTAATGAAGAAAGGCGTAATTGCATTCACGGGATAAGAAAGATAAATTGCGTTTGGGTTAAATTCACATTTTATTTCACGATGTACACTCAATTTTATACTCAGTATCATCGTGACCATCTGATTTAATTTTATTGCTCCAAGGTCATTTAATTTCATATAACGTTTCACTATAACCACCCAATTTCATATAACATTTTACTATGATCACTCAACTTATTTTTACCATTTTCATTCATTTTAAAAGTGGTAAAATGATAACTTTGCATTATATATATAAAACAAATTTTAAAAAAATTGAAATAAAAACTTATGTTAAAAAAATAAAATAAAATATAAACTTATTTTAAAAAAAAGTTACTTAAAACAATAAAGTAAGAACTTATTTTTTAAAAAAAGTTACTTAAAAAAAATAAAATAAAGTTGGGTGACCAAAGTGACACCAAGTATGATTTTGGGTGGCCACCAGTGAATTTAACCCATTGGGTTTAGGTATGGTTAGGTGGAAAATAAATATTTGCACCATGTTTGATCCAAATTATTGTCCCAAGAGTATATTTTAAATAGTATTTTGATGAAAAATATGTGGTAAAAAATAAGGAAAAAATTTGAATTTACGTATAATATTATTTTATTGAAAAATGTTTGATTGAAAATAAGAGAATGAAAAATGTATTTTAGAAAAATAAATATCAAACATGGTGTTGATTAATAATTATTATATTTACTATAATCTAATTATCAATTATTACATTTACTATGTTCAAAATAGCAATTATTAGAAATTCATAATATTCAAATAAACTGTGTTTGATATGGATTAAAAATTATTAAAATTTTAATTTTAATATAAATTAAAGTCAATAATTAATTTTAACTACATATTTTGTGAAATTTACTATTTTTCAATTATAAATTTCATCAGTAGTTTTTATTGTACTTAATGAAAAATGTTTATCAAAATAATAAAATAACTATTTCAATTTGTCTATTTACTCAAATTTCTTCTTTTTTGATTGTTGCATGTTTGTACAATCAACCTTTGGCTTATTTTAAGTTTATAATTTTTATTCAAAAGTTAAATGGGGAGAATTAGGGTGGGGTTAAAATTTATTAACATGATGCTTTTTTGTCTATATATTGGGTCTCTAACCTTTAATGCAGGGTTCTAAGTCCTGACCTATTTAACTCCACAATCAATGTTAGGTGTACATTAATTTTTTACCATCATATCATTTAATTGGACAGTTCAAAAAAAAAAAAAAAAAGTTTTTACCATTAATATTTTTTTGACAACACAACAAAAGTCATCCATAATGTAAGGAGGGAGTGTACAAATGGCATAATCATTAAATCTATTACTCTGGATATTTATGTAACGCAATCATCAATGAAGACGTTAAATCGCTCCCGAGTTTCACGAGACAGAGGACATTTAAGTGATTTGACAATTTTGTCACCTAACTTTAAATCACAAAAGTCGTATGAGGTTTTAGGCTCTGTTTGATACGGATTAAAATATGATTTTAATCCAAATCAAAGTCAAACAATCAATATTAACCACATTTTTTCATGGGCTCCACAACTTTTCAACCACACATTTTAAATTTTTTTAACACAATCTACTAAAAATCTAATTTTAATTTATACCAAACACCTCTTAATGTCCACATTAACAATTTCTATATGAAAAAAAAAATACATATAATGAGATTATAATGAAGAAGAGCAATAAGTTCCACAAAATGCGTGAATAATAAGTGGGTGGTAAGTATGAAAATACGGTTAAAACTAATGTTTGACTTTATTTCTTTTATTATTATAAGCAGATTATAATGAAATCCAAACTCAACAATAATATCAAATATGGGAACTCATTCATATATTTAAAGGTCGGGAACCTAAATTTGCACTAATAAAATTTTTTTGGAGTCCAACTCTATTTTTTTCAAAAAATTTACTTATAAGTAACCCAATTTTTTTATTTAAAATATTGATTTGGGGAAAAAAAGAGTACTTATTGCACAATATTTACCTCAGCGCTCCCACACTTTTTTTTTTCTCCAGCCTTTAGCGTCTATACACTTTTACCTTTAAAGTTGAACTTTTCGATTCCCATCATTTAGTTTCATTTGCAAACTAATCCATATCAATTTCTATCGACTTGTGTATGTCAAAACCTCGTAACACATGTGGGCGTTTCGGAGGGGAAAAACCATAAAAATATTGTTCATTATGTCTTTTCTTCATTTCCTAACTTGATTCCACTTTTCAAGTATAATTTTTTATCGTATCTCTTTTATTTCTAAATACCAAACAAATAAAAACCATTGCCTTTATTTGTAACAAAATTTGCAACGAAAATAATTTTTAGGAGAACGCCTGGTCAAAAAGTTGAAAAAAGTTTTGAATTTACGTAAGAAATATTTTATTGTGTGAATGTGTGGTTGAAAATGAGAAGGTAGAAAAAAGAGTTTTCAAATATTGGTTGTCGGCTAAATAATTACAATTAAGAATGCCAAATGATTAGAAGAATACAAGATTTAACACACAATACATTGATTATTAAAAAGTTTGTTCATTTAGCAAATTGAGAGAAAAAAATGCACATAATCACAAAGTCATAATAGATTTGTATTTGGCTTACCCGATCATCTTCAACATGCAACTGCACTGCAACACCAGACTGCATAATGTTTGGGAATTTCTTGATGACACCTGAATATATTATAATAAATTCAAACCCGAAATAGCAAGAATGATTTCCTATCAACGGATCGAGCTGGGATTTTGACATAAAGATTAGAAAGACTTTTAACATTGATTCAAAAAGTTTCCTTTCTTACTATTTTCAAAAGTTTACCAATCTGAAATGTAGACGTGGAGAACCTTATTGCTGATTGCTTTCTTCCTTTTTAAAGGCAGACAAAAGCAAGAGTGTGTGTGTATACATGTTTATCGTTTTCTTTCCTTGCAATATGTTCCATATCCTACGCTAGTTTTTCAAACTATCTTTTCTTCTAAGAACATTTTCAGCATTAAAGTCGGTTATTTATATATATAATTCTTTAGATTCTGTGTGATCATTCATTCTATTATGACCATGTTTTGTTCGGTGGGGATTAAAATCAGATTTTTAGTAAATTTTGATAAAAATTGATGAAATGTATGTTTGAAAAGTTGTGAATCCCGTAAAATACACTACAAACATTTTTTTGCATCCAGTGACCAAACTTTCTTGGACCAATCATTGGTCGGTAAACATTGATAATTTTAGTGAGCAATCATTGGTTGTCGAAAGACAATGTAAGTATCAGCAACTAAAATCTTGGTCGGTGAATGACAATAAATTTTTTTCCTTATTTTCCAGTGACCATAATTTGGTTGTAGAATAAATATTATCAACCAATATGTAGTTGCTTTATGTATGTATCAATGCTTTTATAATTAATATTTTTTTGTTCCTGCTAATAATTTGCCCAATATTTCAATTTTGAACTTGTACAATTACTAAATTAGCAATATCTAAAATCAATAAAATATAAAATTTAATAAAAAAAATGTCGCTGCAGAAGAAAATTGTACTGGACGAAAACAAGTACTAATAGTCAAAGTATAATCATAAATATCTAATATTTAACCACGAAAATATAAATTGTAATTTCAACAATATAATCATAGTACTGCAGCACAAACTGATGGCGGTGGTGGAGACGATGGAGGTGGATCATTGGTCGGTCCTGTAGGAGGATGCTGACTCATATCCATTTCGTGCAACAAGACTCTAGATAAGTAATGTCTGTTGTTCGAGACTTTGTGTAAGCTCACTAATAGCTTTATCCTTCTCTTTATAAGCTCACTAATAGCTTTATCATTTTCTTTATCTCGTTGGATACGAATTTCCAACAGTTGCATCAATTTAGGGAGAGCTGTGACTACGTTTTTGTATGATTTGCGCGGAGCAATTCCAATCCCAAAAGTAGTCCTAGCACTCTTACAAAGAATTTGAGCACATATTTTTGCTTCATTCATGACAGATGCTTTATCTTCTTGCTCTGCTTGTGAGTGTTGTAACTCCACCATTTCTTTTTGTCATACAATATCAAAAGGTTGTTAAAGTAAATAATATGAATGTTAAGATTTTTGTATAATAAGTGATATATCCTACATATCGAGACTCAGCTAGTTGGTTTTCCCATCCTTTTGATGTGGAATGCATCCTCCTAAACAATTTAATATGTCCAACTGATTATTCCTTTGTACACTGAAAAAGGTGGAGAAAAGGTCATTATATAGTCAAATTAGCAGTATATTGTTGATAACCTCAACATAATTAGACTTCAGTATTATATAGTCAGGGTCCCAGCTTCTGTAGTTGAAGATCAACAAGAAGTCATCTCAACCACATTTTATTATGTGAATTTGTGCCAACACGGACAACGAGTCTTGTTATCATTGTCCAGATGATTTTTTGCCAGTTCGATGAATGATTTAACACCATTAGTGTATTCATCTCACAACTTATCTTGACACTATATCCAACTTTTATTCATGTTGATACCAGAATTTACTTAACTAAAATAGATAAATTAACACAGAGAAAAATGAGAAAGAACGAGATGCACCTAAAAGGAAAATACACACGTTTTTGCCATAATATTTATCACAACTACAAGTTTTTTTTAAAAATTGATGATTTGCAGGGAAAAGGGGGAAGAATGAAGATAACATATGATTTGTATAGAAAAAATTGTTTCTAAACAATAGTTTTATGAAAAGAAATGGTTTTTTTTTCTATGTTGAATCCAACACTCAAAATAAAAGAAGACAATGTATCAAACCAAAGTAAAACTCTCCTAAAGCTTAATTCAAATAAAAAATTATGAATCTTCCAGCGTCATTCAAAATTTTACAATCAATGTAATATAAATACATAATCATAGAAACAGGGCTAAGAAAATACCATTAGAAATTCTTTAAAAAACAAATACAAATGATTGAAAAATAATGAGTAAAAGAAGTCAAT